TAGGATATGGTCGTTAGCGTACGCAGATGATATCGTGATAATGGCTAAGGAAGAAAGGCAGATGGAGAGATGATAAAGAGGCTAGGAAGATATCTGAAGGATAAGAGATTAGAGTTGAATGTAGGAAAGACAAAGATAATAAGATTCAGAAAAGGAGGAGGGAAGAATAAGGAGGCGGAATGGAGATGGAATAAGGAAAAGATAGAGGAAGTCAAAGAGTTTAAGTATTTAGGGTATACAATGCAGAAGAATGGGGGACAGGAGGCACATATAAGAGAGGTTACAAAGAGAGCCACGGCTGCAATGGGACAGGTCTGGGGAATAGGAAAAAGAAAGTTCGGGGGAGATTGGAAGAGGAGGATGAAACTATTTGTAGCATTAGTAAGAAGCATAATGGGTTACGGGGCAGAGATATGGGGATGGGAGGAGAGGGAGAGAGTGGAAAGGGTACAGGAGAGGTATATAAGGTGGACGTTAGGGGTAGACTGGAGAACACCAGGATACTTAGTGAGGGAGGAGGGGAAGAAAGAAAAGGTAAGAACATGGGCAGGAAGGAGGGCGTGGAGGTTCGAGGAAAGATTAAGGAAGGGACAAGGGACGGAAATAGCGAGGGCGTGCCTGAAGGAAGTGGAAGAAAAGGAAAGGGGAAAAGGATCCAGATGGGAAGAAGGAAGAAGGAGATTCTTTGAGGAAAGAGGGTATGCGTGGGAAGAGGTGAAGAGATTACAGGAGGAGGGCATAGATATGGAAGAAAGGCTAGAGGACAGAGATAGAAAAGTTCAGGAACAGGAAGCAGGGGGTAAGATAAGGGAATCGAGGTATAATAAATGGTACAAGGAAATTAGAACCGAGGGGACACCGAGATACTTGAAAGAGAGAGGAAAGGAAAAAAGAATAAGGGCGATAGCGAGGTTCAGGCTAGGAAATGAAATGAGAGAAGGGAGATATTGGGAGAGTGAGGAAGAGAGAAAGTGCAGAATGTGTGGGGGAGAGGTAGAGTCGTGGGAACATGTACTGGAGAGATGCGAGAATGAAGGGTCGAGATGGGAGAGAGGAAAAGTATTGGAATTGTTACATGAGAAGGGGGGAGGATATGAATGGATGAAAGAACTGATGGAAAAGAGGAAGGAGAAAATGGGGAGAGAATGGGAGTGTGAATGAAAAGTAACCGAAACAGATAGGCAACAAATGTGTTAGAAGGGGAATATACGTTGTAAATGGATATGTAAAACTCGAACACTGTACATAGATAAAGGAGAGAAGATAGATCGTAAGGCAATAATGCAATAATGTAGTAAGGAGAAAGGCAAAGATTTGTAACGAAAGGAGGAGTGAGGAAGGAGGAAGTCATGTAATCCCGCAAGGGAAACATTAAATAAATACATACATACATACATACATTAACAAACATTGTTTGTTCAAAAAGTAATTATTGTATTCCTAAAGAAGTGGTTGCATGTTTAGTGCGTACGAGAACATATGTACGTTTGCGAAAAATAAATAAAGATATTGTTCTAAATAACATACTAAAGAAAAAAGCGAAAAAGTTAATAAATTAAGCAACAAAGAAAACGTATTTATACAAATAAAATAATATTCGTGTTATGTACAATACAATATGTATTGATTGTATTTAATTATTTTTACACATTAACTATTAAATCTATTTTTGTACTATCATTTATTTTTATTTATCATTTCATTTATCATTTTATATATTATCAATTTATTTGGTATTATTATGTGTCTCAGAACAAAGTATTCATACTCCGATCTTAGTACTGTGTTTGAATCTCGCGCAACATTTGTGGGCAAAATTTTATTGGCTGCTCCGTAGTACCAGCCGCCATTATGCGCAATGGTTCACCTTTCTTAATTATTACATCATGGGTCTGGACGAGGACGACGACGACAAAGATGTTTTTTAAGCCAAAATTTCACAAAACTGACTTTGCATTGCAATTGCGTTCCAATACCTCCACTCATGGGGCACGTAGGAGAACAGTAAAAACACTTTTATTATGCAAATCGTAGCCAAGCTATCGATTAAGCGCAGTCTCAAGTTCGTCAGATCAGCCGTTGTTGAGATCCAAAAATATGAGGGCCCGTCAACTCGTGTACTCGCGTAAACTTACACGGTCGGTCTCGCGCGCGTGTACTAGCTACGCTTACACTTGGCGCGAGACACTACCGTGTCTCATGATATCCCGTGCACTTTCTGAGAAATGTCCGTATAAAGATATATGTATATTAAATTATACAGGGTGAGGGAAAAGTACCGGACCGGTAAAATATCTCAAAAAATATGGGAGATACGGAAAATTGTTTCAGACGAAAGTTGTACGGTTTTAAAAGGGCTATATAATGGTAAAATTAATGTTCCAAAAAAATTAATTTTTTATGATTATATGGAGGTCGCCGCCATTTTTTTAAATGGAACTCCCTATTGTTTATTATACTATTTTATTTTACTAATTAATATGAACAACTTTTGTCTGAAACATTTTTTGATTTGCCTAATACTTTTTGAGATATTCAAGAGAAAATTTATAACTTTTTCAATGTTTAGCTTATAGTCTCTCGATGTTTGTCGGAGGGAAAAGTAGTATAGGACTTTTTTACTTGATTTAGTCTCAAGAATATGAAAATTATGAAAATAGGTAACAAAAAGGATAAATGTAGCATTCATGTAAACGAATGAATAAACAATGGGACTATTCAAAATTTATTAATATTTTATTAGTGAAACAAATGTTAATAATAATAAAACATAGTTGTTAATATATAATACAAACGTTTCTTTGGTCCAAAGAATACAATATCCCCTCTTAATAATTAATTAAATTTTCATACTTTTATGAAATCACAGTGTAGTTAGTTTACATTTAGTTATTAATATTTATATTTTAGATTTCTATAAGCACTTAACACAACATAAAAAGTAAAAATTAGAGATTGCTCAGATAATATCAAAATTGATGTTCGCTGTTTAAAAATATAAGTAATCTAAATAAACTAAATAAATTCAACTTTGAATAAAGTAATTGTAGTAAACTAATGCAAATATATCACAGGGTTGTACTTTGCACAACGTAATAACGTAAAAGAAGATATATTATTCTGTTAAGGAAGCGAGTGACTTTTCCAACGCAACGATCTAATCGATATTATTAATATTGATTAATTCGTGGAAGCCGCAAGAACCCGAATGCCGCGCTTGAAACGAGAGAGTGGCGCGCTTCATCTGCCCTTTCGTATCCAAGCAATTCCGTTGTTGATTATCTCTCTGTGTGATAGATTTGCATGCTTCTCAAGCGCAGTTATCTAGTGCCTTTACGGTGAATCTTTGGGATATTACGTAATCATCCTTACTCTTTAAAGCCTCGTCCAACAGGGGACTGAGGTGTAAAACATTGCCTCGTCCGATTGGGGACCAAGGTAAGAAAACAGCGCAACAGGCGCTCTTACTCCTTCAGTTCAGCCTTTCTTTCGAAAGGCATGCCGAAAGGTGATAGAGTCTCCATTCGACTCTCTTACTAAATTTAAAGTCTTTCTTCATGGAAGATTGCCGTTGACCCCGACACGGGCGAGGTGGTACTATCTTTATTAAGATCATTCCTTCTTTATCTTTTGCCATAGACCCTCTCACACGAGGCGAGGTGTGGAAGTAAACGGACTTCCTTCTCTCTACCATATTTATATCTTTTCCTACAGCTATTATAACCTTCTCTGACGAAGAATTATATAGAAGAACCATCTACAGCTTAGCGTTCCAATTGATGATAGACGAACGATCTACCGCCAGCGTTTCAACCGACGATAGAAGTACGACGGCGCGGCAATAAGTTTTGGACTTTACTATACATTTTCTGGTCCTTCGAGCCGGATTACACGCACGTAAAGATGTTCAATATTGTCGCAAGGATCACTCTGCAACAGAGCCGTTTCTGTTTGATACAAGAGGCTGCGGATTTAGACGATACAGATGTTCCACGTCCAAATCGTCAATTAGTCAACGCCCGATTGGAAATGCTGGAGCAGAATTGGGTAA